TGTCCAGCTGGGCTGTGGGATGTCCAGCTGGAGCTCTGGGCTGTCCAGCTGGGCTGTGTCTGTCTGTCCCACCTGTAACACACACCTGAGCCTCACCCAGCTGCTTCCAGGGCCTGGGCAGAGCCTGCGTGCTGTGTAGCCTCTAACAGTTGGTGCTGGTTTGCTTCTACCCTTTTTGCATGTTTCACTCCTTTATTTAAAAAAAAAAAAAAAAAACAGTTGCTTTTATCTTGACCAATTCCTCTGAGTGCAGGGTGCATCCCAGACAGCTGAGCCACGGCTGAGCTGTTTCCTGAAGGAGGTTCTGCTGCAGGACTCTACACAAACTTGCTTTCCTGAGAACAGGATCTGTTCTTCATCCCTCAGAGCCATCCTGTGAGCTCTGGGTGATTCTCCTGAGGGTGTTTGTTCAGGCAGTGCAGGGTGAGAGCTCAGGGCAGGGCTGGGGAGCAGCAGCTGCTGCTCAGGGCACCCAGAGCTCACTGCTGCCTGTCCCTGCTCTGCTGGCCCTCACATGGGATGAAAGCCAGAAGGAAAATGTGGTGCTCACGAGAGACCCAGCCTTGAGCCCTGAAGCAATTCTGAAATCACCTGTGATGTGTGTGAGGCACACAGACAGGCAGGTTTTCCCCAGTGATCCGGAAAGGATGGAGGTGAGGATGCCAGTCAGCTCTCCTGGCTTTTTCAAAGCCCCCCATCCCCTCTCACTGCCCGGCAGAGCAGCATTCCAGCCAGCATAATCAGAATGGTCCTGGATCATGGAATCATGGCTTTTTGACTCACAGCAATTCTGAAACCTTGTGCTAGCAAACGATAACACCAGGAGCTCTGAGGAAATCCAACTGCAGGAAAGTGTTGGCATCTCACTCCTCCCAGCACATCCCTGTACTCTTGCCCATGCAGAAACAGTTCCTTCCATTCTCTGCTCTGGCTTCATGGTCATCATCTCTTGAAGGGATTTAAAAACCTTTGTCCCAAGGTTTCCGTGAGGCCATGGAGTTACTGAATGCAGAGCAGCATTCTCAGGGTGGAACCATCAGTGTTCCCTTTGCTGTGGCATAACTTCTCCAGATCACCTGAGACTTCTGCTTCCCAGTCCTGTAACCTGAAGCTGCAGAACCTCCCCTGATGCTTTTATGCTGCTCCTGTTACTGGAAACCTGCCTGTGGGACCTGAGGAGCTGCATTTCCCTGTGCTCCCTGCCCACCTGGGCTGTTCCTGTGGGACATGAGGAGCTGTATTTTCCTGTGCTCCTGGGCTGTTCCTGTGGGATGTGAGGAGCTGCATTTCCCTGTGCTCCCTTCCCACCTGGGCTGTCTGCTGTGGGCAGCAGCTGCCACAGGAACCTCCCCATCCTGCCCCTGCCCTAATTGCTGCTGGCTAATGAACTCTGCAGCTCTGACACTCTCTGCCCTCTTGTGGCTTTAATTTATCCCTGTCCAGCCTTTTTAGCCACGTCACCACTCCAAGGACTTGTGTGGCATTTTCTGGGGTCCCCCATGGCAAGAAGGAATGAATCTGACTCCATGTTCTCAGAAGGCTAATTTATTATTTTATGATCTATATGGTATTAAAGAATACTATACTAAAACTATACTAAAGAATAGAGAAAGGATACTTACAGAAGGTTTAACAAGATACTAATGAAAAACTTGTGACTCTCTCCAGAGCATCAACACAGCTGGCTGTGATTGGTCATTAAGTTAAAACAATTCACATGAAACCAATGAAACACCCACATTCCAAAGCAGCAAAACACAGGAGAAGCAAAGGAGATAACATTGTTTTCCTTTTGCTCTGAAGCTTCTCAGCTTCCCAGGAGAAGAATCCTGGGCAAAGAGGATTTTTCAGACAATATGATGGTGACAGACTCACATCCATCCTGTTCTTCTCCAGACTTGCATTTCGCAGGCTCTTTCCCACCAAAATGCCAACACAAAACGGGAATCTCTGGAGTCATACCAGTGGCAATGCCTGTGCTTTCATCCCAGGATGTCAGCTGTCCCTGGTCAGGAATGTCCCCTGCCCATGGTCAGGAATGTCACCCTTCCATGGTCAGGAGTGTCCCCTGTGAGCTCTGGTGAGCTCCTCAGAGCAGCCACCTGCATCCAGCTGGGCCTGACACAGGGGGTGACCCTCACCTCCTTGTCCCTGTCCTTTCCTAAGGGTCTGGATCCTCCCATTCCAGCACCTGAGGCACAGCAGCTGTCCCACCATGCATGTGGTGCCCCTGAGTTTGAAGCCCTCCTGGCCAGCTGGGCCAGGGTGGATCCCTGCTCTGGAGAGCAGAAGGACACTCAGGACACTCAGTGTTCCATGCAGCTTGGCACTTCAGTCACATTCAGTCTTCTCACCCATGGCTTATCCTCCCCAGCACCCACAGTGCTCCCTGCATGAGCTGTGGGTCACCAGGGGGTTACTGTGAGTGACTGAGACCAGTGCTGTCCCAAATCCAGCGCTGGAACACCTCTCTGAAAGTGAGTGTGGACAGGACTTGGGGCAGCCTGGGACAGTGGAAGGTGTCCCTGCCTGTGGCAGGGGTGGAATGGATGAGCTTTAAGGTTCTTTCCTACACAAACCATTCTGTCATCCTATGATAGCCTTGACATCTGCATTAACTGTGCCAGCTGTGTGCTGCCAGAATCAGCATGGCCATCCTATGATAACTTAACATCTGCATTAACTGTGCCAGCTGTGCCAGCTGTGTGCTGCCAGAATCACAGCATGGTTTGGCTGGGAAGGGACTTTTCAGAACCCCCCAGTCCCACCCCTGCCCTGAGCAGGGACACCTTCCACCAGACTGGGTTGGTGTGAGCCACAGCTCCCCTGGCAGCCTGTGCCTCACCACCCCCTCCCAGCAGGGAAGGATTTCTCCTCACCTGACTCAGCCCAGGGCTCTGTCCTCACATCCAAACCCCTCTTGTCGCTGCAGTGCCCTGGGATTTCCTCTCAGGATCTCTCTGACTTAGCCCGGGGCTTTGTGTTCAGATCCGAACCCCTCTTGTCATTGCAGTTCTCCTCAGGATCTCTCTGACTTAGCCCAGGGCTTTATCCTCGGATCCGAACCCCTCTTGTCATTGCAGTTCTCTGGGATTTCTCCTTAGGATCTCTCTGACTCAGCCCAGGGCTCTGTCCTCACATCCAAACCCCTCTTGTCGTTGCAGTGCCCCGGGAGCAGGACGGGCAGCCGGAGGAGGAGGAGGAGGCGCTGGCAGCAGGGGATCCATCAGCAGCAGCTCCCTCAGCCCTGGAGGACATGGCCCTGTACAGCAGCAAGAGGAAGCTCCGGCACAGCCGGC